GGTTTTTATCTTTATGTTTCTCGTGGCCTAAGTGTCCCTGGCCTAAGGCGTCTGAGCCTTGGTTCCCCCGAGTCTCAAACGCGGGGCCTGGTGCAGCCCCGCGCACGTGCCCCGGCGCCTCTAGTGCCACCCGGGGCCACCTCGCGAGGGGGCGGGGCGGGGCGGCCAGGTCACAGCCACCCGGGCTGCGCCCACCCGTGTCCACGGGGCTGCCCCGAAGGTGCAAGGTCGCGTGAGATCGAGGATGGCTGCTGCCTCAGCTGCGCACACTGGAGGCCAGAAGTTGGGGACCTGGCCCCGCTGACCGCCCGGAGAGAGGCTTCTCAACCCCTCAGGGCTTCCCGTCTCCAGGCGGGGTGATGACTTGCACCCAGAACACGCAGCGAACAAACTTGCCCGCCCCGCCCCCAAGAAAGTCCGGCTGGACAGGCCACCTTGGACCTGCCCGCCCGGCGAGCTTGCTGAACCTCAAGCCCGGGCCCGCCGGCCTCCCCGGCACAGGACCGGCGAAGTCAGGTTAGCGCAGGGTGACTCCCAGGAGGAAGGACGGGGAGCCAAGCGCACCCAGTTCTCCTTCCGAAGTTTAGCAACCAGGCGAGCCACCGCCTCCGGGAACGCAGCCAGGAGTTTGTGCAGGGAAGGAGCGCTGTTAGGGACAGAGTCAGGGAAAGGCCTTCTCCTGGGGTGTGCGTGTCACTCAGCCCCTTCTGGGCTCTAAGTCAGTTATGGCCAGGAGTTGACTGGGTAGCTGACTTTGGGGGAGTCTCACCCAGCTCCAAACGGTGGAAAACAAACCACTCTCAAAACAAAGCCTTCCAGGTGGAAGGATGCATCAGATACGCTGACAACAACAGTCACAGGATAGTAACAGCCACAGGATAGTAACAGTCACAGGATAGTAACAGCCACAGGATAGTAACAGTCACAGGATAGTAACAGCCACCGGATAGTAACAGTCACAGGATAGTAACAGCCACAGGATAGTAACAGTTGCAGGTCTGCCTCTCCTACCGGACCCTGAGCTCCTCCAGGGGAAAGTGTATCTTTCCCCCTTGATCCCCAGGCCCTGGAACTGGAGGTGCTGGCCTGGTGTGTAGCAAGCCCTTCATGGAACATCTTGGGAGACAAACAACAACGGTTCTCCCCTCTCCTTTCCCCAAGAGACACTGCATCAAACTCAGTAACTCTCGTGTAGTTTTGGACCTAACTTACTGTGAAGTAGGAGTATGGAGGCGTTCTTGAAATAGTGCTAAAGTGAGCCCTTGTGCCCTTTGACTCAGTGTGGCTGAATTACAGTATTTAAATGATGTTGAGACAGGGCTACAGTCTTACCGCGTCATTACTGGTTGTTTTCTTGTTTCAAAGCTCTATAGACTCAGGCATTATTCAGTTCTCAGCAGCTAAGTGGGTCTCCCTCCTGGGGGTAGGTGTTCAAGCGGTAATACGAAGCCAGAACTGAAAACGCAGGTACTCTGGCTAATCCTCAGTGTGGGTATTTATGCCACAGGGCATCGCACAGTGCATTTTGGGGAAATAAACTCGGATGGCGCATCATCTAGGAGTGGTACTTGCTCTGTCAACTCTCAGCTTAGTGACCAGCACAACCCCATTTACCAGAACACTTGACTGACGTGTGTCACTGCCGATCAAGTGAACTCGGAGGAAGGTCAGGGGTGTGACTGCAAAGGCCAATCTATTTTAATTGCCTGAGGTTTAAAAAAAGCCCTCTTCTCAGTTTACAGTGGCCGTGGGAATCGTTTTCCTGCTCACGCAGCGATACGGGGTCTGAATATTGTGGATGCAGCCTAGTGGATAATCGGCGAAACTTGAAGGTTACACGGAATGAATCAGCACTTTGGAAAGTTTATTCCATGAGCACAGGTTACATGTTCTTTCAAGGCGAAGGATGGCTTCTTTGGTTACAGAGAAAATACTGGTAGTAGAGGGGAACTAGTTTCTAGGGTTAATTCATCTCCAGGCGTGGCCGCCAGGTGTTACGGATTACACAGAGACAAGGGGGACAGATGAGGCCATACAACTAATTTTTTTGTAGAATAAAACAGCACAGTTTCAGAGATGGCCTGGGATCCCTTCCAGGTTGGCATCACTAGGTAAAGATTCAGTCCGAATGGGTGAAATGCGGTCACAATACCCTTAACTACAACACTTTCAGTCAAGCGGCAGATCCTTGTTCCCGGGGGGAACTTGGACCCCAGGTAGTGGACACAGCACCTATTGTTACGTTCTGTCAGAAAGAGGAGTTGCCATTCATTTCAGTGTTGCATATGTTTGGGTAGCTTTGGAGTACGTTTAAAAATAAAACCCCGCCCGGCTGCTGCCGCTCAATTGGTCGAACATCGTCCCAGGTACCAGGATGTCCTCTGTTCGATTCCCGCTCAGGGCACACGCCCAGGTTGCAGGCTCAGGTCCTCAGCAAGGGGCATGCAGGAGGCAGCTGGTCAATGTTTCTGTCTCTCCTCCCTTCCTGCCTAAAATCAATAAAAACATATTAAAAAAAAAGGGACTACTCGATAGCTTTCTCTGCCACATTCAACTTTCTGTTTTGTATGGCTTTTCACAGCGTTATAGGAATCCTGGCCTTCATCTTTCCCAGCAGCAGCTCCATAGGTTTCCTATTATCTTACTCTAGAACCCTGAACCAAGCAAGGGGAAAGTCTTTATTGGACATTTTCTCTTCTCTCTCCTCTCTGTTTTCTACTTTTTTCCCATCCTAAGGAAAAAACCCTCATGGCATATGCTGCCATTCTGAAATTTAGGTGCTTGTGTACAGGCTGTTTTGGCTTCTGTATCGGAAGCCACATCTAGAAATAGTCTCTGTAAGTTACACTTGCAAGTTGTTAGTTGGCAAGTGCCAACAGCATTACGGTCTGTTTCCTAAGACCCCCCCCTTCACTTCGAAACCGTGTTCTCTGTTCTTTTCTCTTAAAACCACACAGGATGGTGAAGAAATAAAGCGAGAGAAGCCTGTTGAAATACACTTACAACAAGCTATCCTAAATGTTATTTATTGAACGGTAGCTAGGCTTTCATGGCATAAGAAGCAAGATTGTCCGAAAGCAACCCCAAGAGCTCATTCTCGATTTCCTAAACCAAAGGGCCATTGGGAACCAGGAATCACCCTTCAGTTGAGGGAGAAGCCACACTTGGACTCAGCTTCCTGTTAGACTGATGGCGTCATTTTACCCCCTCGCAGGAACCACGAGTTCCTGTGGTCTCTTCTGTCTGTCCTCAGGTGCTGGCCAGCCAGTTTTCACAATCATGTCCCCTAAACAAACAGCATGCCATCCAGACCGCCTGCCATTCACGTTGTCTGGGATCTAATAAGGGGGCTGCCCTGCCTGCCCTCTAAGACAGGAGAGCAACAGCAGGCGGGCCTCTTCCCTCGAGTATTGGGCTGAGTGTCCGTCAGGTGGCCCAGGCTCCCGCATGCTTCTTTATCGGGAAAATGAGAGAGTCACAGGACCTGTGATTGTTCTTGTTGCTGACCCCTTGAGTTTCCTCAGTGAAGCCTATTTTTCAACCCTACCCCTACAACATTGTAAAATTCACCCTGAGCTCTGGTTGAACTCAGATGCCCACCACAAAGGGACCCTTATTACACATTTATTGATGATAAAGCTTTGTTCTGCATGCCCTGCTCTGGGACATCTATCTTAGCTCGCATATTTGTAACATAGATTGGAGTCACTGGCCGTATCTGTATTTTGCCTTGGATAAAATTTTATCCTACATAGTATGTTTGTTAACTCGTGCTTTGTCTTCTCGCCTGTCTGCCTTATTCACGCCCCTCCTTGCCCAGCTAAGGTTCTATGATGTGTTGCTCAATAGTACTGCTGCTAGCACCCTAAATTCCCTCCCCTTCTGTCCCCGTTGTGGCATCTGCTAAGGACTGCAACCAGCTGTGACAACCAAAAAATGTCTTCAGACGTTGCCCAATGACCCCTGCTGGGCAAAGCTGCCTCCAGTTGAGAATCGCTGCTCTGTACCCGTCCCTGACCCCTGTTAAGGTTGCCAGTGACCATCAGGATGCTAAATCTCTTT